ATATTAAAAGTTTGTTTTATAGCAAAAGCAGATAACTCCCAACAGTCGATTTTTGGCAAAAGCAGTTAACTCCACACTTCATGTTTTCGAGTAAAAAAAAAAACACTCGTTTAATCTTTGTAATCTCCTCAGATGACAATGTAGATGCCTGACAAACGTTGTTGTTGTTGTTGTGATCATAAACTGTATGGATGTGATTACACGCAATACACAGAGCTCTTCCCTCACCATTGTAACGCTCTGCTTTTGCAAGGTTCTGTGAAAACGTTTCAGCTTTTATTTTCCTTTTTCGCCCTGAAGAAGATATCACAGGTTCATCAAGTTCGTCGAAATTATCCATCCTCGATCACTTTTAGTCAGCTTTGACGAAACTCTCAGCTAGCATGTGTTTTCAAAGTGAAAGTAGCCTTGTCACCTGACCTGAATACAGCGCGATGATTCGCTAAAATGGACTTATCGGCTTATGTTCAAAAACAACAAGGGCGCTTGTCGGCTTCTGCAGTAAAACGTGAACCTGCGATGCCTTGAAAGTGGACAAAACCGGTGTTCCGGTGAATTCATTTCCGTTTCCCTCACAGCGCATGCGCAGCTTCAATACGACAATCGTGACGTCATGATTTCGCCCAGGCGAAGCGAGTTTTAGTGGTTTTGCTGTCTTTTCGCAAGCACAAGGTTCATTTCACCATGTTCATTAGATAGCTAATTTGTAATTAAATACATGTATGTACGTAACGTCCTGTTCAATCGCTATAGAGTCAGATTTCCCTGCTAATTCTACCTTTGGCCTATTTTATTAAGTGTAACGTTTAGGCTACGATTAGACAGTTAAATTCCTTCGTCAGGGGCATTTTGTTCGGACGCCCATTTCCATTTTATTGTTTTTGTTGTGTTAGTGTGTGCGTGTTTCTGTTAAACAACTGAAGCCTTGTCAAAATAATGACAAATAAACTATATTGCACAATGACTAGTCTCTCTTTTATTATTTTAGGTAACGAGTGATTCTCCTGATGTTTTTTTAAATGTCATAATTACGTCTAACTGCTTTTATCTGCAGAACACTTTACACTGAAAACACAGGGGGAACAGATTTTTCCAGAGGCCTGAGAAAAGTGGTTCCCTCCCAGTATATTACCTTCTGAGGATTTATAACACAATACAGTGATACTGGTTATGTTTTTCAATGTCATAATTATGTCTAACCACTTTCATCTGCAGAACAGTGTTTTACATTGAAAACACAGGGGGAACAGATTTACCTGGATGCAGCATTTTTTTTTTGTCTAGATATTAATTTGTCATTAAAGTAGGCGACATGAATTAGAGGATTTAAAAAAAAAATATTGCAATGATTATTATTTTTAAATTCATTTAATAAAAGCTTGTTTAAGATGATTTAGTTTTAAAATTATGTTAAACAACTTTATCTGCAGAACAGTGTTTTTACATTGAAAACACAGGGGGAACAGATTTACCTGGATGCAGCATGTTTTTTTTGTCTAGATATTAATGTGTCATTTAAGTAGGCGACATGAATTAAAGGATTTTTTTTTTTAAATTGCAATTATTATTATTATTTTTAAATTAATTTAATAAAAGCTTGTTTAAGAGGATTTCGTTTTTTATATTACTGTGACTTAATTAATAAATGTGACAATAAATGTTGTTTATATACTCTTTTATAGAAGATTTAAATGATCTCTGTCATTTTTGTGGACTACGCATGACCCAAGTGATTCAGACGTAACACCTGCTTGGTTTGGGGACTTTTTATTTTATTTTTTAAATTAAACCTGTTCGGTCCTTGCTAAATTGGCAGTTGTTACAGGTTATTTTAATCTAATTTTGAGACAATTATGGTTATTTAACATATTGTATGATCTTTCAGATTACCTGTGATGGATGTGACAGGTGGTACCACCAGTCATGTGTTGGCAACCCACCAGTCAATAAAGAATATTATTGCCCAGCGTGTATAATCTGAGTCAGTATATTATGAAAATTTTGTAAATAGTTTTCGCTTGGTTTTCAAAATTGCACTTGTATTGACTTTTTTTGTGTTTCTAAGATTGTATATTTTAGTTTGTATGGTTTAAAAATTGCTTTTCTGTTGTACTGTATTGTACTATTGTATTTTTAAAAAGTGATTAATTTATTTTTGATTGTGATTTCCCATTGTTTAAACTTGTGCACTCACTGTTAACATTAAAAAGACCAGAACGTCTTGAAATTGTGTAGTTTTGTAAAAAAAAGGAAAAAAAAGGAAAAGTGTATCTTTTAAGATATGTTCCCCCTGTGTTTTTAGTGTAAAGTGTTCTGCAGATAAAAGTGGTTAGACGTAATTATGACATTTTAAAAACACATGGAGCATCACTCTGATACACACACACACACACACACACACTAACAACAACAATAACGATACAATGGAAATGGGCTTCTGAACAAAAGAATGCCCCTGACGAAGGAATTTAACTGTCTAATTGTAATGTATGGTGTTACACTTCATAAAACAGGCAAAAGTTAGAATTAGCAGGGAAATCTGAGTCTGACTCTATGTTGCGATTGAACAGTACATTAATACGTATTTAATTACAAATTATCTAATTAACATGGTGAAATGAACATTGCTTGCAGAAAGACAGCAAAACCACCATAAGTTGACTTGCTTAGCCGGGGCGAAATCATGACGTCATGATTTTAGTACTGAAGTTTCAGGGTTGCCAGGATATTTTTACACAAAAAAAAAACGCCCAATTCCAAAAACTACCGCGGACTTGGCAACACTGCGAAGTTGCGCAGGCGCTGTGAGGGGGAAACAGGGAAACTGAATTCACCGGAACACCGGCTTTTTTGACAAAACGTGTTTAGGGTTCAGATCGCGCTATATGTGGAGAATAATGCACGGCAATCAGCTCATTTTTTAAAATTTATCTTATGTATTTTTGCATTTTAGCAAATGTATCTTGTTTTAAGGACGTTTACAAGTTTTTATTAGAAAATAAATCAAAAGCACTCTTTAAGAAAATAATTTTTGCATAGTTAAGTATCATTAAGTATCTCTATCAATCAATCAATCAAAAAAAAAAAAAAAGGAAATTTTAACCATGACATTTTAACTATTTTAAACATGAATACTGAAAGTAATTATGTGGTAGGTAATTTACCGTGCTATGTGCCATTTCCTCTCAACCATCAAGTGAACCTCCTCAATTCTGTGGTTGTTGACATAATGCAAACGTTTGGGAAGATGCTGCTTCAAGTAAGGTTTGAAGTGCTGGTCTGGCTTTTTACACTGTAGGAGAACCAAGTTTCATGTTTGGTGAAGAAGAACAGTGCGTTCTGTACTGAAATAACCAGGGTATATTTTAATTGAAACCATTTAAATAATCAATATACAGTGGTCCCAAAATATATTGAGAGACTATTTGAGACTAAAGTCACAAATAATGCTAGATGTTCCTCAAAACTAACTTTGTTTTTAGGAACTATTTTTTGCAAAGAGTTCTATCCAACTTTTGAGTAGTTGTATGATGTCACATCAGTTCTACTCAAGATCACAGAGGTGTGGTAGCAGAGTAACCACAGGTGCAGGTCATCACATTAAGTATGGAGTCTCACTTAATTTTGACAAACAGAAAGTGTTTTCTTATAAAAAGGCTTAGTAAAGTATGATGTAAATTTTAAAAAGTACACTATTATAAAGTATTTTATAGAAAGTCACTCACCGTAAGGTTTGCTACAATTGCTTTTGCATCATCTAGAGAGAAACGAGAGATAAACTCAATTATTTTTATTCCTGATACTTTTAAAACAAATTAATTCCTAGAAATAGTGCACTGTAGTCTATTCTAATGTCCTCACTAAGTCACATGCTCTCAACACATTTTTCTCTTGTAACGTGACATGTAATTAACATCAACCAATAGCCCACACAGCCTAGGTGAAATCAGCCAAAAGGGGCCTTAAAGTTTAAAAAGACAAAAAGTTCTTTAGGCACAGGACGTATTGCATTTTGATTATTTATTTATTTTTTCTAAGGACTAATGTGTGCTAAGTTGTGATAAATAAATAAATAATAATAAAAAATGGTCAATTTGGTTTCATGGTCAATTTTGTTTAAAAAAAAACTAAAAACTTGAAATATAACAAAATTAGTAAAGAAAAATCAATCAATCAATCAATTTGTCAGATTAATTTGATGTGGATGAATCCAGGTTGTTTGAACACTAAGAATATATTTACATACAAACGCATAGAGATACTGTATTTCCTGTTCACAAAATCTTGTGATTTCTGATGCAACTAGGACAGGGCAGGCTAGAACTCTCATTCTGCTTTTTAATTACTAACATTTAGAGTTGTTTGAATTTCGGGCTCGGATTCTTCCCAGAGACCCAGGAATTAGGATGATGTCCTCAGTGTTGGACATGTAAGAGCTCAGGAACTCTGTGCGGTCACAATGAGCTTCCTCCATGCCTGAAGAAGAAAATATATATCAAATATTTAGAATTTATAATAAAATAGTATCATCCCTAGAAACCCCAATCCAGGTCTAAATGTGGTACCATGGTCTCCAACCAAGATGATATTGACACAACGGTGCAGTTTCATCTGTTTCAGGCCATTCATTAGCTGTCCAATCACCTTATCAATGTCCTTCAGTGCACTGTCAAGCTGTAGAATGAAACAACATCTGTTTAATGCTCAACATCAAAGCAACACCAGCAACATCAACAGTCTTCAAATTTCAAATTTGCTTGAAGCAAATTTTAATTCACACACTATGGAAAGTGAATGTAATACGTTTATGCAGTGAGTCTGTATTTGGGCTGACTTTGTTTGCATTACTGTTACAATTGTAGCATGATCATATATGTTTATGTGAGTAAGTGTGTGACTGAAGCAAGTGTGACAATGCCAGTCAACTGGTCTTCTAAGCAATTCAAATGTTTCCTGTACACTCTGCTTACCTCAGTGCTGTGGGGTCCTAGTTTGTGGCCATAGGAATCCAGCTGTTCAGAATGCATTGCATAAACATATGGCCTGCAAAAACACAGACACCTGTTACCTTTTAACCCAAAAAAAAAAGAAAAGAAAAAGAAAGAAAATCTACAAAAATCAAGTAGTGACAGTACTGCTGTGAAGGTCAAAGTTACTATAAGGCAAAGTCTAACCTTAAAGCAAATAAAATTTGATAATGTGACTTAAGATAACTCCATGAACCTAAAAAAAAGCAATACATGGAGAAATATCTTCCTGGCAAAGGTGCATGTCACATTCACTAAAAAAAAAAACAGAGTACTGAATTTTGTGGAGTAAATTTACGGTAATTCTGAACTTTTTAAATTAATTGTTCAACCAAATACGGAATGTTCACAAAGCATTTTGGAGGTGTTTAGTACATACTGACCTCTCCGCATCCGGAAGGTGAAGCCACTGCAACATGGTCAGAACTCTCCTTTCCAATGGAATGCCACTGTTAATGCACCACACATTAGAATTGGTACATATACATACTTTGTATATATAGCTGAAATATATAGCTATTTAAAGTGTATATAGCTGCAATTTTCTGAAAGGGTCAGCAGGGCAGTACACTTAGGCAAACCTTCAAGTTTAAGGCCTGCAGATATGCACGTATGTGGTTAAGAGTCTTAGAGAGTTTATGTAGGACATCGAGGGAGCAGGGAAGATTAGAAAGATTATCTCAATCAATCTCTACAGGAAACCCTTTTCCACTACCACCTCCACTCATCCTGACCTCCTGTCCAATTGTATCAACATTGGGTAAATTCATGCACTAAGCTCAGTCCTCCTCAACCTATGGGCTCAGATAAGAATGGCAAATTTAATTTCCTCATGGTTTAAGGCCAAAGGAAGTAGCTCTGAAAGCACTTTGCCCTTCCACTGTGCTGAATTTGGTATGCAGTTGACAAGCGCCTTGCATGTATGTAGAGCCTTTTCTCACAAATTACTAGCAAAACAGTTCAAGCTGTCTCTGTCTAAGTCTAAGTGAAAAAATGCAGTCTGAAGGCCCTCTGTGAATGCAGATGAGGGGACCTTTGTGTTTCAGTCCTAGGCAAGTCCAGGGCTTGCCAGAGAGCACATCAGAACAAAAACATTCATACGATTTCCTCCGTTTTATGAAATCTTGCAATTAACTTGCAATTTTGGCTTGAAGTACTTTTTCCAGCTGTATAACTAGATTTTCATGTCCTTTTAAGAAAATATGAGTGGTCCTTGCCTGTGCAAAACTTCACATGTCAATGCTTTGTGGTTTCTAGGGTGTTGTGGGTGTTTGTTTTACTAGCCCACATGCCCACCTCCAAGTCGCCATGACATTATGGTCCATAGATTTGATAAGTCCTCGTTCATTATAAGTGTATGGGATTTTTTCATACATTTAAACATCCACCAGGCTAAAATCGTGAAATGGCACACCTCTCCTCAATAGGCCACATGATTTGAGGTAGGCTACTGCTCATGTCCATAACAAACAATACGGACAAGTTATTTGATTAACCATGTTACAGAATTGAATTAAAAATTGACCTTCAAAAAGACATTGTTTGCATTTGAGTTTGGATCATGTTGACTTACACTGGCCAGAAAAACGTACCAGCCTTTACTCCCTGCTTCACTGCTGTTATCCAGATCTAGAAATGGAAGAAAAAAAGAGTTATCAAACAAAACGTGTTGTTCTGAGTCCTCTGTGTAAAAAAAGAGTTTTTCTTTCATATGCCAAAGAAAAACTCTTAATTCATATATGAACTAAACAAATTCTAGGGATCACAATTCACAAATGAGAGACAATTGTTCTATGTGTTGGTTAATTTTCACAAGTGTTTTAGCAAAACTGCAGCGACGACACTGGATAAGTTCCATCTATGATGGCCTCATTTACCGTCACAGATCAGTCCGTGGGGTATAGAATCAGCCAGAAGAAATAAAGTTCAGTGAAAACTGAAAATTGGCTCCAGCTGTTGGGTTAATAGCTGACAGATGTGTTGGAGATGTCCCCTTTGTTTTCATGTAGCTTGCACAAGATCCCACTGCTTACAGTTTCAGAACACTGTGTCACTGAGGTACTAGTTATAATTGTCTTTTATCTCTTGCCAAGACAATGGTTAACAGTTTAAAATGGTGACATCAATATGGCTCAAATTAGTCTACATATATGTACATGAGTGGACTGACCTTTGACAGTTGAAGTTTAAGTATATTTCAAATTCAAAGCCAGATATGATGCCAAGAATACCAGAGAGCACTGGGCATGTGTACAAAGTCTATTATGCCTGGAAAGAGCTAAATGTCAGGGATACTGTATAACATTTGTATAACATATAACATTTTGCAATATTACTGTTTTTTTCTGTATTTTTGATTAAATAAATGCAGCCTTGATGAGCATAAGAGACTTCTTTAAAAAAAAAACATAAGTCTTACTGATCCCAAACTTTTGAACGGTAGTGTATACACACAAATCAGACTCTGGTAAAGCATCTAATATAATATAATTAAATATTGCAAAAAATATATAACTTATTTTTCTACCATGATGCAGAACATCTTTCAATTTCGGCCCGTTTGTCACTCAAAGAAATTATATGGCCCCAAAATAACTTCTATAGATTGTTTAACAAAAAAAAAAAAAAAAAAACGCCCCTTTTAGACTTGTACTCTATTCATTTACTAACTGCTTGTTTTCTTTAAAAAAACAAACACTAGCTTCTCTATTCTTTTTGTATTTGTTTTCTTTGATTTATTATACAATTAACAAAAAGCAAAAAAGGCCTCTAACACTGGCTTGCTTTTATTATATAATAAATAAAAAAAAAACCTTGCTTGTATTGCGTTAGGCTAACTGAAAATTGTCACAGCACTTGCATATTGCTCTTTTGTTGATTTTGATTGTTTCCATTGTCCTCATTTGTAAGCCCTTTTGGATAAAAGCATCTGCTAAATTACTAAATGTAAATGTAAATGAAAATGTTTTTTAATGTTCTTATAGAACTAGGGCTGTCCCCAACAAAAGATTTTTCTAGCCAACTAGTAGTCATGTTGTAGTCACTAGTAATGTTAAAACAAGCAGCCATGGCTAACATTAGGCTACTACTTACGTGTTTTAAATGATAAGACATGTTCGTTGTTGATGAACAATAGACCAGCGTTTACCTGCAGAGTTTGGCAACCTTTTGAGGGTCATCCTTTACCCCCACTTTCGATTTTCTTCCTGACATGATTATTAGCACATGTATCAGCCAGACCAGAGGTGTTAACACATTTTCGGCTACTGGCTGTGCCAATTCATCAAATCCTGTGTTTTTTTTGTTTTTTTTTCTGCAACTAACTATCTAATGGAAATGTAGTTGACCAAGCCTCTTCTAGCTGACTAACATTTAGTAAACTATTAGGAGACAGCCCTATATGGAATGTGAGTACATGATGGCACAATTTCATTTTTGGATGAACTATCCCTTAAAAAAGGTATGGAAGGGCAACTCACAGGTTGTCCTCCCCACCATCGATGGTTAAGCTTTTCTTTCCCACGGATGTTAAAGTTGGCATCAAAGCCAGGGTCATGCATGGAGTTACCCACAATTCCATGCGACTCGGGATAAAGCCCCTAAAGCAAAGATAAAACAAAATAAATATGTTCAAGCAAACGGTTTAAGAGGCAACAGAAATAATATTATCATGTACAGTGGTGCTCCTAAGTTCTAATATGAATATCACCTCTGTAGAATTTGAATCCTACCAAAAAAGTGCACAAAAAAAAAGCATCCCCCCCTTTTTTTTTAAAGATAAACATCTTGCAGATTCTGCAAGGGGTATTTAAACTTTAAGCAAAATGTAACACAAAGTACACAAACTTAATACATACTGTTGTAATTGTATACAAATTTGGGTAGGTTTTGGTGGGGTACACAGGTCTCATGTATGGTGCGTGTGTTCCACATGATCCTACAAGAGAAATGAGAAATTAAGTCATTAGTAGAATCAATCAAAGGCATCAGTTTAGTACAATAAATGAGGTAATTTAGCACAGATGAAATACATGAACATGTTCTCTGAACAAGAATGTGCCCTAAGTTTACTTTGTCTGAGATCCTAAGTTTACCACAGGGAAACTCAATTGCAAAATGGATTTCTGTGTAGACTGTTGGCTAGTGTTTAGAGTTGTGTGTGTGTGTGTGTGTGGTCGAATTTGTGTGGTCGAATCAGCATTTTATTACTTTCATGATTATCAATCGAGCCACACAAATTCAGAATGTATTCTCAGTTTAATTTTAAACCTCTACTGCATGAAGACTTCTTGCTGCCAAATCCAAACACACACACACAAATACTGAGGACGCATCAAAACGTCCACAACTGCTTGGCTGTTTACACTGTTGATAAATAAACTATATGATCACACAGCTCTCTAGATAAAGTTGGACAGTATAACTATCCACATACATACCGTCTCAGCAAATGCTAATATATACAATTAATTGGGATTTATTTTTGATTAGTTAATCTGTACATTGTGTAATACATTTTATGTTTTAACTGATTGACAGCTTAGTCAATATTCATTTATATTCAGTTTGTTGATTTTCATGACAAGACATAAGTCTTACTGAGTTTCTCAATATTGGGGATCACCATGCTTCCTCTTTTCATGTAAGATGCACGAAAGCCATCAACAGACAACATGATGATCGGCGGCCGAACAAACCTAGATACACAGAAAGAAACATTAATACACCAATTACAAACAAAATTAAAATAATATTTGTTGCTAAAATTTGTCCTAATTAATAGTGGACAGGTAAGTCTTTAATTTGAATGCTCTTTTTATAACAACCTTTGATTCTTCCATAGGCACTATTCATATGATGAATATCATAAAAAAGTCACACTTCATGTGCATGCATTAACATGAATTGTTATGCAAATCACCCAGTTCTCCCAGATAGGTGTTTGGTCACACAGAAGCCCAATATCCATCTTTTAACTCTTCTTTTAACAGTGTTTGCCATCATTCAGCACTTCACAGCATTAAATAGATAAATTCCCTATGTTCTAGTATGTAAAGTACAGCTGTGACCTAAGATATAAGTGTTGTGGACTTAGTGTTGAATATAAAAGGTGGGATGGATGGGGAGCCCATTCAGTGATGTTTGTCACTGAAATCACAATTGTCTCTCACCCAGCTGGACACTCGTGGTTTTTAATCTCTTCACACTCTTCCTGCAACCAGGGAACATCACCTAATACAGGGAGGAAGTCAGTCAATAAAGCGTGAGGTGACAATCAAACATGTCTCATTTCCAGGAAATACAGAGCTCTTGCTCTACATTTACACACAAACATACCGAACCCAACCGTTTTATAACTGTAGTGGTCTGGCAAAAAGGTCTTAAGAAATTGATGGGAAATTATTAACCTTCATCCTTCCTTGATGGATTTTTTTTTTTTTTTTTTTACAATTTTTAAAAAAATTGAGTGTTCATTTGAGTGGTACAAGAATTTGTGACTTTTATTCCACTTGAATTTGGAACACACACACAAAAAATTGAGTGGATTCGAGGATTTATGTATGTGGCTGTAATTAAAAAAAATGTACAAATCCTTCCCTCCCGGGTCATTTTGACCCGACCATAGGAATGAATGGAATCTCGAAAAAACATTATTATTTTATTTTTTTATTTTATTTTTTTTTATTTTGTCACACTTGAACATGGATCACACACACAAAAAAATCGAGTGGATTCGAGGACTTTATGTGGGTGTAAAAAAAGTAAAACATCCTTCACTTGCGGGTCAATTTGACCCCCCATAGGAATGAATGGAATGTCGAAAAAACATTATTATTTGATTTTTTTTAAAAATACAAAATCTGACACAATCCAGACAAAATGTATATCCAAACAAAGAGCTGAGACTACAGAATATTCCCAAGGCATAAAACACTCACATACCCCCTCCGCCCCTACACGCACACACATGCACACAAACACATACAGGTGCATCTCAATAAATTAGAATGTCGTGGAAAAGTTCATTTATTTCAGTAATTCAACTCAAATTGTGAAACTCGACGACATTCTAATTTATTGAGATGCACCTGTACATGGTACACGCACACACATTATAACACTATAACACATTATAACACACATTATAGCACTGCATGATTAAGGTAAACAAGATAAATAAAAAAAATATAAAATAAAAATCACCAAAAAAAATCATGAAAAAACCTACATAAATATTAAGAAAAAAAATTATAAAAATGGATCAATATAAGCTTTCTGGGCAAAAAAAAACAAAAAACTTATCATTTTAGGCCTTCGGGTCATTTTGACCCGCGAGGGAAAGATTTGTTACAAAACACGAGGGAAAGATGAAGGTTAAAATATGCATGATGCACACTCTGGATCAAAAATAACAGTAATGGGTGATTGTCACTTTTAAATCAAAACAAATTCTAAATCCTCCACATTAAACTATTTCTGCTAAACATTCTGCTAATTACATGAAATGCATGTGATTTTTGTGTTTCCAGTTTGCAGAAACACTCTGAAAGCATCCTACCTTTGCAGAGAGACCTGTAGTTGGTGCAGCAGTCTCCTTTAGCCATGCAGTCCTCTGAGCAGTGACAGGCATGCTGTTCATTGCGAGTTTCACCACAGCGGTCTTTACGGCACTCAAAGTCCCCGGCTAAGGGCGCAAAAAATCAAACATTTCTTGTAGATAAAACCCAACCAATGCGAAATTAAAGGAAACCGTTACAGCAGCCTGGCAAACGCGATTTGAAGAACGTCTGTCTTTTGACAGACAAAAAGGACAGTGGGGTCCAAAATAAAAAAATAAATGCTTCATTAATTTGAGAACCATAAATTTGAGAAATCACGAATTTGAACATTTCTTAGTATTTGGTAGGCCCCAAGTTTGTGGAAAACCTAATGCATGTCATCAGCATGATTTGAGAATGCTCAAACATGAGTCGTGACCATATGTTCAAATGAGACGTCAATGTCGCAAATGTTCTTATTCAAGTGCAAAATCTTAAATACTTCTAATCATTTTCCATCATAAAGCCTCAAACGTTGTGTATATCCCAAATAAAAGGAAAAACAAATGTAGATAGGTCTTACCTGTTTTCAGGCAGTGCTCATCAAAGTCTGAGCAACAAGTATTGTATGTTTTGCACAGGTTGTCACAGCGACAGTTTGGGGGTTCACTTTCCACTAGTTCAAAGCACCTGTTTTTGCAGGAACCTGACAGGCTGCTAAAAGGGTGGTCAGAAAGAACTTCGAGGACCGGATAAAGTTTAAGGAAGAGAGAAGAGACATAGAACATAAAGATTAAAGAGATATTTTAAATCTAAAAACACACATCACCAAAAGACAAAAATTTGTTATGCTTGTGCAAACATTCGTAAGTGCTCTGCCCTGAAGCTGAAGACACATGTATGCAGTTCAATCATTCTAACCTGTAAAATCTCAAAGATGGGTAAAGGAGCTAAAATGTTCTTTGCGTATCTCAATATTGACTTAGGTTAGAGCAAATATTTCTTTAATTTCGATCACCAGTTGAGAGCAACAGAAAGTGGCTGTTTCATTAAATGTTCCTTGCACATTACTACTACCAACTTATGTGAACTGACATGATCACTTGATTTAAAAAAAAAATGTCTCAATTCATTTATACTGGAACATTTAAACGAACAAATGATGTTATGAAGTTAAATTGTAGCATGAACAATGAATCACTGAATGATGGATCAAGCTAGGTCAAATGCTCTTCTTTTGTCCAAGCTTGAATAAATTATATAAACTAGGCAGCAGGTAGTAAATGTCCCAATTGAGCCAATGGTCTTGGATTTTACACTGACACCCAGTTTGCTGCCACTTCGTAGTTCATTCTTATGAATAGCAGCCCACATAAACAGCCGCTACTATGGTAGTAGTTGTAGTAACTCCGTACAACATTCTTGGCCATGTTATATTACCCCTAGAGGCGTGATCCACTCCATGTACAATAAAACAGATTTTTCTAGATTAAAATATACTGCGATAGAATCCTTATAATGTCACTGAACACCAATTTTTTTTCCCCCTCATATGTACGTTTTTAATTAGAATACTGAATGCACATTTAGTATTAAACCCATACAAGTTGTAAATTCTGCCCTGCAACCACTGTAGTCATGTTTGTTATATATTAATTGCATACAGCTTAAATTTATAATCGTATAGTAATTTATACATTGAGCACACATATTCTAGTATAAACACATTCTGGTATAAAGAAGTATAAACCCACATCCTGAGAAAGACTCATCTGATGATCGTGCCTTGCCGGACCGTCTGACCACATAAGCCTCACACACAGGGCATCGCGAGAGAAGATATAATACGGAGAATACCTGCATACGGACACACCGTGGGAGAAGAATACATGGGTAAAGATAAAGCAAATGCACCTCATTCAACTTTTGACTGGAAAAAATGTACAATGCGCGTCAGTTCACATATTTCAACATATAGGACGACCGAGAAAATGCAATAGCATTCTTATTAGACTTAGCTTTTATGCCTGCGACCAAGAGGACAGATTTTCAAACTCCAAAACAGTCGAATATTTATATTTGCAGCTGCCAATAAAACTACCTTGTAAACGTTTTCATGAACCGTATTCTGCTAAAGTTAGGCTATTGAACAAATAAGAAAAATAGCGTTATAATGCTAAAGGGTCAAGGCATATTAATTACATCTATAAAATGCAATAAAAAGTCGACTGAACAAACCTTCTTACAAATAGAATACGTAAGCATTATATGAATACCAAAAAACATCTTGCCGTACCCATTTCAGTTGCAGCATGGTTGATGTGTGTCTGGTCCGACTCACTGACACACTACAGGCTCAATCCCATTTCTACCCCTTAGCCCTTCCCCTTACCCCTACCCCTACCCATCTGTTTCGCGCGTTCACGTGAAGGGTTAGGGGTGTCTCGATTCTCTTTTGGTTGGAGGTGTAGGGGTAAGGGGAAGGGCCAGATAGCCCTTCAAAGAAGATTTTTCGGGACCACACTTCAAACGAAGGGGTATGAGAATTATCTCAGCAATGCATACAACCGGCTAGCTGCAATGTCTGGCCGACAGGGGCGTATCTAGAGGGGTGGCACCGGCCCCCCACAAAATATGCTTGCCCCCCCTCAACAGCGCAGACTGATCAGAGTATAACATCTCACGTGTCGGCGCAGGGTATTCTTACTTCCGCCAGCATAGTAAGAACTATAGCTACCAGCATGGAGTTCACCGAAACGCTTGTACTACTGCCACAAATACGATTAGAGGGTGACTGCTGCTGTCTATTCTCGTACTCGTTCAGGTAGCGGCGTCTGGCATCTCAAACGAATTTACCGAATACCGATCGGCGAGATTTGCCGCTTGAAGTCGAGGGAGGAGTTGAAAACGGAGAACTGCAGTCACTGATTCCCGCGACTCTCGCGCACTGTTTGCTGTCTTTATTGCAGTTAGATGAAGTTGGTTAGATATATTTCTCAAATAAACAAACGTTTTAGACATTTACATGTGGTAACAGAAAGCCTTTTCATTCAGTAATTTATGTCCTGCTTAATACAGCGCTTGTATGTACAAGAATAGTTCAACATAAGCTTGTACTATTTAAATATCAATAAAATGGGGTCTATAATTTTCCGTTTTATTCATGTACTTCAGAAAAAAATATTAAATATATTAAGTTTATATGAAAAGCTTTTACAGTTAAAAACAGATGCCAGCATTTGTGTAAATAAATATAAAACGCATTCAGCTGTTTTTTAAAGATCACATTGCATATAGCCTATAATGAAAATAAAATACGATCGATCATATTAATAAATAATAATTCAAAAAGAAAAAACACGGTATACATGTAGTTAAAGCGAAATTGAATGAAGGAATTTAAGTAATTGTAGAAGTCCAAAGTTCTGTAGAACTACGCGGCTGTCCTTTTTGTATTGTTTCAATATTAAGCCATATTCTTGAACTGGATAATGAGTTTCTTTTCAGACCACTTGCCTTTATGGATGTGAAACTTGCCATGTAGTAAAACGATTTAAAGGGGTCATATGATGCTGCTAAAAAGAACAGTATTTTGTGTATTTGGTGTAATGAAATGTGT